AATACTTCTCTATTTCTGGACAGGCACTGCTCTGCTCCAGCTACTTCAGAATCAGCTGAAGCCTTCACAGTACCCAATACCCAGACTGCACAAGGCTGTAATGGCAAAACACAGCATTCAACCCTCCATGAGCTCAATAAACAGCTCCCTAATCCCTCTTCTTATGGACATGTAGATGGCTTTTATCTGCCAGACGATGTGTATGTACCTCGTGAAGGGAAAAAAGGAAAAGAAAGCCTAAAACACCCAGCTGTCAGTGGGTCTGTCCCTCTGTGTGCCCCTCAGGGGCTGTGGGGCAGGCACAGGGAGAAGGGAGGTGGTGGCCACTGGCTGCTGCCCATCACGGGGCACCAGACATTGGTTTGAGAGAGGGAAAATTTTAGGGAGCCTTTTGCTCTGCTGGCTGCAGGTCCCCACACTCTGCAGATCCCTGCAGAGTCACGCTGGCCTAATTATATTTTCAAGCAAATGCAACATATTTACTAAATGTACCGGGTTCTGCCCATCGGCACCAGCCGTGTGTGCAGACACCACCACAGCAGCTGCTCGTGGCTGAGGGGCTCTCCCGCAGAACCACTGACCCCGTGCCAGGGGTAATGGTCCCCTCCTGGACCTCGGGGTCCGGAGGCACAGGCAGGTCCTGCCATTCACCCCCTTCAGCAGCAGCACTGGGCGTCGTGTTTGTGGGTGGGTGGGGAGGACAGGCTGCCAGCTCAGATCTATAATCTGTAGCAGCTTGTAAGAGGCACCCCCTCTCCCTGCCCTCCAGGAGCTAAAAACAGCCTGAAAGGTCCCTCTTCCCCCAAGAAGGAGGCATGTGGCATCCACTTGCACGGTGCAGAGTGGCAAAGGCTTTTTATACTCCCTGAAAGTGCTGCCGTGCTGTGCCCTGTCATGGCACACGTGGCCCCAGCTGTGACAGCACTGCAGCAGTCACGGAACAACAGCCCAGTGCCCCTGCGGTGCTCAGGGGGCACGGGGTTGGCTGGTGACACCGGGGCACTGGGTTGGCTGGTGGGATGTAGGATGGGGTGAGGAGGATGGTCCGGAGCACGTGAGACAAAGGGCAGTGGAGAGAAGCTCCTCTCAGTTGTTCACACTCTTCCGCATTTAATTTCTAGCAGAGAGCCCAGAGGGACCGAGAGGCAAGAGCCACCCCATTACTGCTGCCAAAGGGACTTCTTGGGAGCCCATCACCAGACCCATGGGATGTTGGTCCTGCTGGAGAGCCCTCTGGCACAGGTGGCATGCAGGGAGTCAGCCCGAGGACATGGCATCCTGAGGGTGCAACAATCCCACTGGAGTCCCTCCCTGGAAAGAGTGGAGACATGTTTGGAGCAGGGTTTGAAGCAAGGTGATGGGAGAGACTGAGGCTCCCACAGGCACTTGTGACCCAGCCTGCAGAAAACAAACTTCACACTTCCTGCCATGGCACATCTTACCAAGCCTCCATGCTCTCAGCAGTGACAGGGTTCAGTTCCCATTACACAATGTGTGTGGATGACACCAGCCTTTTCCTCCAAGGAGCCATGGATGAGTTCCCAAGGCCGGGCACAGTCAGCCTGTCCCCACCACTGACGTTGTTCAGGTGGACAGGAGCACACACCGCACAGCACAACTCCTGTGAGATGATGCGGACGAAGTGTGTTCTCTTCGGGATCCATTGGAGTTCTTTTCTGAGTCCACAATGGAGCTGGGGGAAGCCAAAAGAGGGGAGCTCCCAGGGGAGACACGTGCGTGCAGCCACTTGGTGTGTAAGCAAGGACAGGCACATCGCTCTCAACATTGTTTCGCAGTTTCCAGTTCTATGATAAACCTCTTGGATTAAACGACTCTTGCAAGACATATTTCAGCAGTTCCATCCCTTCAGTAACAGGTATCCCTTCCCTGGGAAGCCGCAGAGGGCTCCTGCAGACCAGCAGGGCCAGGACAGCAGCCAGCCATGCCCAGGCAGGAGCCCTGCCTGCGGCCCGAGAGCAGCGTCCTCCAGACCAGGCATCCCGCTGCATCCAGCCCTGAGTTAATTACAGCGTCAGCATCAAACAGAGACTGTTGAAATGAAAGGGAAGGACGAGCAGCTTTCTAGCTCTGCCTTTATTTTTTAACCCCAATTATGAGATGCGTTGGAAGGGAGAGGCGATGGCAGATAATGGTCTGAGTGTGAAGTGGAGAACCAAGAAAGCTTCACATCCTGATCCCAAATTGGACACTGTGGCCTCGTCTCCTGGTTTCCTCCATGTAAAGTGGTGGTGGGATGCTTAGCTTGAGGGGCATTCCACAGATGAATGAGCTTTTGGGAAGTACTCTGAGCATTTGATGTGTTATATAAGTGTGTTAGCACAGGTAGCTTTTGTATTGCAGCAGAACCAGAGACTGCAGCCCAGATCGGAGTCTCACTTGGCTGTTGTGGCAGTTCAGAAACTCCTGGTTGGAAAAGCCCCTGTCCCTGCCTGGGCAATCCACACCCTGTGCCCCAAGCAGGCAGAGAGGAGACAGAGTTGCTGCCAGACTCAGGGGAGCTTGTACAGAGCATATCCCTGATGGCATTCCCAAGAGATGGAGAGCGCAGGGGGCTTCCCGCAGACACCGATATCACTGACGACCCTTGAGGAGCCCCAGATCCCCAGTTCCCTGGACCCCTGGAATGTGCTCAGCACCACAGAATTCCCTGGCCTGGGTCCTCCTGAGGCACCCACAGAGCGTCCGGATGCTCCAACTGTGGCTGGTGATGGGAATTCACCAGGAACTGTGCACTGCACTGTGCAGGTGCATCCCCCAGGCAGACCCTCACTCCCACCCATTGCTGTGAAAGTGCAGCTAACACAGACTGGCCCCTAAAGTTCAGGAAAACTGAAGGACCAAACAGATCTGATCAGAGATGAGCAAGAGTTGGTGTGCAGAGAACCAGCCAGTTGGCTTCCTTTCCAGCACCTGCCCACTGCAGGATACTTCATAATTCTGCTTCCTTTCTAATCAGATGAAAATACAACCTGAGTGCTAATCACAGGGCACAAATAGGGAAGAATATGTAAAAAAGAAAAATAACCTTCAAAACCTTTGTTTTCAATAAAGTTTATGTCATGCATTGCATTTACAACCTCCGGCGGACGAGCTGATGTTGTTTGCAGCATCACTCATTAAACAGTGTGCACCCAGCACACATCACCATATGACAGACTACAAAGAAGCACCAAAGCAAAAGGAAACTTGAGATGAAACAGAGTGAGGTCATTGGTTCCTGGCATATCCTGAAGATGTTTGTCAACAGTTTAATTTATCCAAATGGCTACTCTATTAAAGAAAGAAAAGAAAAACTTTGTTTTGGCAAAATCATGATCTGGGGGGGAGAACTTTTGGAAAGACACATTAACCCTTTCCACACCCTACTTCTGAAGGATCCTGAGAGGAGGGCAGGGTGTTATCTGGTGGCGTTATCTGAGAGATTTTTGGATTTACACTCCTCCTCTAGTATTAGTAGCACTTGTAGGTTGTAAACACAACTGAGATGTGACAGGGTTTGTAAGCAAAACTGTCTCGGACCTTTGCTGCATCTTCTGCATTCCTTAAGCAATCCATCGGTATGTGTGAGCTGGCAGAACTGAGATAGGAATCCAGCTGATAAAGGGAATGCAAATCACAGATACCATGAGATGTCCCCTGGCCTCCCGTGCCATAGCCAGGGGCTTGCTGGGGCAGGAAGGTGCCCCTCAGACTCCACGGGGCTGTTGCTGGGCTCAGGTCTCACTGCAGCACAGGGACACCCTTCCTGCAGGGGCCATTTGTGGACTCACCAGCATGAAGCCCATCGCCAACTGGCCTGGGAGTGGTAACACCAGGAACTGGTGGAGCCCAGGTAACAGCACCAAAAGTCATGCAAAGGTCAGCCTGTCCCTGGTAACCAACACAGTGTCCAGTTCCCCCCTTGTCCCACAGAGCAGTTGCTGTTGAGGTGACCATCCATCAGACAGAGCAGCCAGAGCAGTCAATCCCTGTTTAGAGTGCCAGGCAAAGGAAGCTCTGTCTGGATCGGGTCTGGCACATCCTGCTCCCCCCAGCAGGACTGTGCCAGCTCCTGGTGCAAGGGCTCCCTTTGGCCCCTCGGTTGGTGCAGGACATCCCATCCCATCTGCGCTGCAGGGCCACGCAGCCGCTGCAAGCCCAGGCTTGAACCCCGCCATGGTGGGTGCCCTGGACTCAGCCAGCACAGCCGGGGAGCAGAACAGGTTGAGCGACTTCAGGCTGTGGGAGGAATAATCCTCCTCGGTTGATTCAGCGAGCTGAGGCAGCCAAACCGGGCGAGGACGACACCGCAGAGCGCCCCACGGCCCCGCCAGGTACCCCCAGAGAGTGGCTGCGCCTGGAGGACTTTTTATAGAACTGCTGTCAAAACGAGCATGGAGCGAGCTAAATTGGGACTATCTGACAACCGAGGCGGCGTGTAGGTGTGCGAGGGATGTGAGCAGCGAGCGGCGGCGAACAGCCGGAGCCGAGCATAAACAGGTCCGGTCTGATGTTTATCGGGGACTCTCATCTCCTGAGCTGGTGAATTTTTTACCGCCGTGTCAGTTCTGATGCGCAGAGCAGGAGCTCTGCAGCCAGCCCTGTGCACAGCGTCAGGGGAGCGTGCCTGGCCTGCTGCAGCTCCCCATCCCAGCTCCGGGATCTTCTGCCTGGGGAGCACGACCTGGGGCTCCTGCCCCCGGCACCACCCCAGACCCGTCCCCTCGCACCAACTGAGTCACAAGTGACTCATTTCAAACTGGGATGCGAGCGCAGCGTGTGAGTTTGCAGATTGGCTGGTGAGGAACAGCTCTGCGATGTAGGTGGCTGCATTACATACTCCAGCAGTGGAGCTCTGCTCCGCGCTCCCTCCTCCCTCGCCCTCTGAGCAGGATAGCTGCTGGAGCCCAGGATCTCGTTCTTGCAGGCACAGGGAGGCATCTCAGCCAGCTCCAGTGGATGTGGGGTGTGGATGGCTCCAGCTCCGCTCCTGACGGAGTTCTGCACTGAAGATGGATGACTTGGCTCTCCTTGACCTGTTGGAGTGTCCTGTGTGCTTTGAAAAGCTCGACGCCACGGCAAAGGTGCTGCCGTGCCAGCACACCTTCTGCAAGCCCTGTCTGCAAAGGATCCTGAAATCCCAGAAGGAGCTACGGTGCCCTGAGTGCAGGACCCTCGTCCTGTGCAGCATCGAGCAGCTCCCCTCCAACCTGCTCCTCATTCGCCTCCTGGATGGAGTCAGGTGTGGACAAAACGTCACCAGATTTGGCTCGATCCAGAGGTCAGGGGTCCTGTCCTCCCCCGCCTCCATCAGGAGAATCCCCAGGGGGCTGCAGCTGCATCAGCACCGGCTGGCAACGAATCCCAGGATCCACATGGAAGGGGTAAGGAAGGTTGCTATTCTTTACTCTGTGAGCATAGAAAGGTTCCTGCTGCGTGCCCAGAGCCAGGAACCTTCCCTGTTAGCAGCACTGCAGAGTGCTTGAAGTGAGAGAGGGCGTTTTGTTTGTAAATCTGGCTGCTGTTTCCGTGTGATATTTGACTGTTTCAAGTTCATTGCAGCAGGAATTGAATTGATTCCCAGGCTAAGACAAAGCCAGACTGCCTTTCTCCTTACAAAAACTTCCCAGCAGCTGTTTTCCCACAGAGTTTTCAGGTGCTTCCCGGCTTTTGAGGGCATTTCAGGTACTTTGACTTTTGGGGAATACACTGCTTTTGACTGATAGCAATTAAGTCAGTAATTGCAGAGCTGTAACTGTTAGTGGTGGAGAAAGTATTTCCCATCACTGCTCCTCAGTTTCCCCCGCATTGGAAAGGAAGGAGCCTGCCCAATGATGCTGCTGATCCTGCCAAAGTACTTGGAGGTTCACTAGTTAAAAATACTAAATTTGACACACTCACTGACTGTACCTAGGGATGAGTTACTAGGCTAATTTTAAAATTCAAAGTTCTTTCTGTCATTTTCTTTAACAGTACAAAAGCTTTTCTTGAATAATGAGGATGCGATGTTAGACCTGTTAAAGGAGCTTGGCTTAGATGGAATTTGGGGTAGAGACTTGTGGCTTCACCTTTCCTGCATTATATTCCTGGACTTCCATTTCTCCCACCTGAAGTATTCTTCTGTACAATGTCTCTACAAACCTTTTCATGACACATAAAATCTCGGCTGAAAGGGCTGTTGCATCCCAGAGCATTGGGCAGAACTGCAGAGCTGTAAATGTCTGGCAGGCACAGGACAGGTGTCCTCCCCTGCGTTGCATTGTCCTCCCAGGGTCCTGGAGCCGTGCACACGTGCAGGTGTTGCTGGGGGAGGCCCTGTGTCCTGTGGCCACGAGCTGGCATGCCTGTCCCAGGAAATCTCTGTGGCACCAATAAGGGTCTTAGATGGATCACACACCAAAACCAGGCATCCCTGCAGAGCACCTCTCTCAGGTGTTCCCACTGGACCACGTGGCAGTGCAGCCCTGAGCCATGGGCTCCGTGTCCCTTCCCAGGAGCGCTGCCTGGACACATCACAGCCAGGGGTAGGGGGGTAGGGGTGGGTGGGCAACATGGCCCAGCCCGGAACGTTCTGCTGCAGCACTGGGAGGTGCCTGGGGGCCAGGTGGGAGGGCAGAGTGGGTCCTTGGGCTGCCGACAGATGGTCCCCATGTGGAGACCCTGCTCTGTCCACAGGGACACTGCTCTGACCGTGGGGACGCTGCTTTGTCCACATGGACACTGCTTTGACCGTGGGGACCCTGCTCCATCCGCAGGGCTGTGGCAGCAGCGACACCCTTGCTGGGAGCCACCAGCTCTCCAGGGAAGCTGCGGGAGCTGCTGGTGCTGTTCGTGCGAGTTACAAACCATCCAACAGTGACAGGTTTCAGTCACTGCTATCCCAGGCTGACATTCCAGCTGTCAAGGAGGTTATGGTTTTTCCAACTGGACTCCCCTGGATAAAAAAGCACAAGTAGTCTCCTCCGGTTTTCTTTTCTCTCACTTGTTTCATGTTTCTTTTACTGGTTCTCAGGGCAGGTAGGTACTTGCTGCTGATACATAATGTCAACATCCATCAGTCTGCAGCTTCTGCAAGTTTTCAAGACCAGTTTTAGGACCAAACTCCTGGGAATCAGCAGAGACAGCGAGTGGTGGGGTAGCAGTGGCTGCAGCTGGCTCCCTAGCACTCTGAGCTCCTGTGCCTCTCTGGGAAGGGACATAAAACACATTACACTGAAATGCTCTTAGACTTAATTAGTTACTTAATTATAAAACACTTTGTAATCCTCAGCTGCAAGGTGAAGAATGCAATGTATTAGTCACCTTTTGGTTTTGGTGGTTTTAAATACCTGCATTCGGGACCAGCAGTTATTTGGGTGCTCCAGTGGGATTTGGAGCCTCCCCTGTGCTGGCACCTGGTCACAGCAGGGACACGTTTGCCTGTGAAGTGCAAAGGTGACAGATACTGATGAGGGTGACTTGCCATCACCCTACACCATGGAGTGCTTGAGTTCCAGGGTATTCACCTGAAGGAATCTGGGTAAGCAGAGGCCTCCAGATGATGTGAACTTCAGAGCAGATGCTTTTTGTCAGGAATCACAGTGAGAGCAGCTACTGTGCAGTCCTGCTCATCCCACCACAGTGCTCTCCCGGGTACTCGGAATTGCAGTGTCCGTGTTCTACTGCAGTGGAAGGTCATATGCTCCCCAAAAACAGACTGCCCTAATCTGCAAGGGCTGTTAATTACCCCTAATGCTATCCAAACCTTGTGCTACAGAGCAAACACAATTGACATGCCCCACGTTGTACTGCAGCCAGAGCTGCCATCCAACACGGGATATGGGCTGGGGTTTGTTTTTACCAAGGCTGTTCTATAAATAAACTTCCTTTACTCCCTGGAGCTGAGAAAATCACAAGTTTGATCAAAGTTTCTCTCTCAGCAGAGATGTTTCCTTGCCAGCTCTTTGCTCTTCATTCCCATAAGCATCCATGAAGGCAAAAAGTAATATAAATCCCTCCTCACCCAGCAAGCCAAGAGCTCCTCTCACTCTGAGCAGGAAGAGTGAGCAGGCCCCCGCAGGGCTGCTGGATTAGCACAAACACAGCACTCTGTTTTTAGCCAGGAATTTCCCAGAGCCAGTTGTTAAAATACAGGGAATTTTCTAATTACAGCCCATCCCAAGCTATTTATTTGCTGGCATTTAAATCCCTTTTGAATCCACTTCCTATGAGCTACCGTGGGGTGGGCACGTGCTGGGTTTGTGCACGTGGGCCCGGCCGTGCATATCCACAGCCAGGCTGTGCCAGATCCTGCACAGCCTCCATGGAGCAGCCACTCCAGCAGTGCAGCCCTGAGCACCTGGCACTGCCCTAAGCCCCCAGCACCGCCCCGCAGCTGCTCCCAGCACCTCAGGCCAGGCCTTCAGATCTTGAACATCAATGCAGAGAGGACAAGACTTTGGATTTTCAGGATCTCCACGTAATAAACTGTCTGGAATTTAAGAATAAAAGGATCTGCTGGGAGGTATATGCGTAAATAAGCCACGCTGAAGCCTTTGAACTCTTAGGAACCGCCCCTGGCATGTGCCAGGTGTGGTTAAGGCTTGTACTGAAGCTCCTCCTCAGCCAGCTGCAGCCTCACTGCGAGCTGAGCGCGGCTCTGCCGCTGGCGAGCAAGCAGACCGTGTGTGCTGAGGTGTGCAGGAACCACTTCTGATGGGGTGGATGACCCAACTGCACCCTGCACACGGCAAAACTCTGTCCAGGCCACTAAACAGCTACTTGGGCGCTGAACTTTGTCATGCAACAAACATGGGACAGTGAGTTAGAGGAGAAAAATTCCGAGTATGACAGCTTGCCTTGGGAAAACACAGACCACGCAGATTTAACTGTGACTTGGGCTATTTTATCTTTGCATGAACTGAGTGCTTAACACCCCCCTCCAGCATTTCATGGGAGATAGACAGATAACACCTCTATTGGGATAAAAATACTCCGCACTCCAACGTCCCACCTTCACACGGACGTCTATAGATAGTGCCTGCATCTTGGTATTTTCTTCTCCTCCAGAATCATCTCCAACTCCTTTCTAGATTTGACAGACAGCACTTGGATTGCTGGAGCTTCTTGAAGTCTTTTTCAAAGCAACCTCCATACTTGCACCCACCAGAGGCAAACGCATTTCCTGGCCCACTCACTGAGCCAACCCCCCTCCTCACCCTCCCAAAACCCCCAGCAGTTCCCATGCAGTCATGGCAATGACCTCAAAACGTGTCACATCCCCTTGAGCTGGACAGCCACTGCAGGGACCTCACAAACTCGGGGTTGCTGTCCAGGCCCAGCTCTGCCTGAAGTGGTGGTGCTGGCTCCTTTCATGCCAGAGACAGGGAGCATCCTCTTGCCCCACAGCTGCTGGGGGTGGCAGGTGTGCACCATGGGGCCCCTCAGCTGGACACAGAGACACTTCATTTGGCTACAAAATTCTGTGTGGCCTCGTGGCCTTTCTGGAGGAAGGGCTTGTCCCAACTCTCCTCCACCATCATTGTTGCCTCATTCTAGCAGAATGAGCAGCTGTTCCTGCAGTTCTGGTGGCACCTTGTGCAGGACACTGGTGTGTGCTTTTTGTCCCTTTGCATGTAGTTTTAGCACTTTTATCTACTGCAAAGAGAGTGGGGTCACCTCAATATAGACTGATGGACAACACACCCCCCAAAAGCTGTGTGTGCAACAGTCCGGGCGTGGGGCACTCCTGGGTGGTACCAGAGGTGGTGGAAAGCCAAAGGACCTCCATGGCCGACAGCAGGAGCCAGTTTCCCTGGTTTTACAAAATTAGGTACCAAGCTGCAAACACATAAAAGTGTTTTAATTTGTTTCCAAGGCAATGAGTCAGGCTCAGATGGCGAGTCAGGAATAGCACAGCAGGGCTGGCTCCTCTGCGAGCTCACCTGCACAGTGCCGTGGTCAGCCAGGAGCCTCAAAGTCTGAGTCCTCCTTTTCTCACAGCTTCCCTAATGGTCACTGTCGCTGGGACCATGGAGTTGGTCACTGGCCTGAGTTTGTCATTTTCCCTCTGGAGAGAAGGGAGAGGAGGAGGAGGCAGATTCCCGTGCAGCTCTGCAGTGTGCCAGGGCTGGATGTAGCAGGTGTCCCGACAGAGGTGAGGGCCCTCCCTGCTGCCAGCACTTCTTGGCTTGCAGAATGCCTGGGCCCGGTGCCCATGGGCAGAGGTGGCTGTGCTGCCCAGGGCTGGCAGTGCTGGCTGAGGAGCCACATCAGCACTCCCCTTCCCGGCACAGGGAGGGCACTGAACTGGCAGGGAGAGGACTCGGGAGCAGCAGGAGGAGGAGGGAGAGGGATGCAGGTTTCCTCCCTGCACAGTAAACAGCCACTTCTGAGAACGGCGGTG